CTTAAACTTAGCATCATTATTTAAAGAAAACGCGCGTAGAGTCACAGGACAAAATCAGTATTTCTATAACAACTGTTTCAAAAATTAACATAAATAAGCAGCAAAAGTGATTTATGTGCGAATACTTTAAACGGAAAAGTGTTTGTTCTAATTAGTTGGTGCAGAAAATGTTTGAGGTGTCTTTTGGGAAAAAATAATGATTAAAACCCAAGTTTTGTCGTGAATTATGAACGGACCAAAAACACCGAGGGGCCTCCCATTACTTTTTGGTTTATAGAAATTAAAATGTTGGTGAAAAGATATAAATCAGAAGACTCAAATTCCAGTAAATCAGAAGTGAAAACGAGGTGAAAAAGAGGTCCTACCTCTTTTCTCCCCATAATACCTAATTAATAGAATATCACAAATTATACATTACCTAACTGACGAAATTGCAACAAAACAGATGTAATATGTTAATAAGAAGTTAATTAGACGGCACTATTATCATAATCACTGATAAATTCTCTAGTATTAACTTCTTTATAATTTTTACCTTGTTATTCAAAACATTCGAGTAGATTTCGCTAAGTACTTCGTTTACCAACCTTTTTTGTCCTCAAGTGGCGGAACACAAACAAAATTATGATCAAAATGAGCTTATTCCCTGACCCTCTGTCCCTCTAATCTTATGATCCCTCATAAAAAGTTTGATAAGGGTGTTATTTGACCGTCCAAACAAAAGCTTATTGTTACACGATACAGCTGATTAACATTGTCACTTATGTGGCGAATTTAAACGCTAATGGAAGGTTAAAGAATGTAAAGGGTAGGGTAATAAAAGGGGGTTGTTAATTGTTTTAATTATAATATCATGTTTTATTAAATAAAAGCTTGTTAAACTGTCTAGTATTTGTCTCTGGCTGACTTGGGTAGTGTATTGCAATTGTCTTTAGTAAATTAGAGAGGCTTGTACTCCTATAGTGGAAACTAAATGAATCAATGATGAAATGGATGATGATGACTACCTATATGATGTATTTTTTGTCGTTGACTTCTAGTAAACATTCATGGGATGCGATTTTATAAATTTCGTTTCCTACTTTTAAGTAAAAGGAGCAACTAACACAGAACTCTTTAGTCTATAGCATCAAATCAAATCCAAATTCATTTATACCCATCACCGTTGGCTGATTGCGTTATAAATGTTCCTTATTCACCCTGAGCGTTCCCCAACCTAGTTACCTACGTCTAATCCCACACCTCGATTAGATACTTGTTGTGACCGAGCCTCGTTTCCAATCCCATTTCCCTGAGTGCAGGCTTATTCGGTTTCCAGAATCTTGTAGTTTGAATTCCAAATACGGTTCGATTCCATTTGGTTTATATCCTTGTAGAATTTAAATGATAAATTGTGTGGACCCGATTTCGCGACAGCGTGAACAAATAAATTATTCAAGCGATCACATCAATTAGAACTAAATTTTTAAATAACTTGAAAAAATCAAATTGTCTAAGGTGGGAATTGAACCCATAACCCTTCGACATTGGGAAAACCCGTCGAAACTTTCATGTATAATATAAATAATTTAGTTTGAGATGCGACTTAACGCTAGCAAAATGTAAGTAATACTTACTACATAACATGCTCGTATTGCTCGTTCTTAACTAAGTAGCATTTGCCCCCGCGAGATTTGAACATTTAGCTGAAGGTGGCTCACTAAACCAACAAGCCTAGTGGGAGTTAAAATGGATGATAAAACTCAATTATATTCTGAAGTCTTCTCAACTGTTGAGCAGTAAAAACTTGAATTTCAAAGTTTTTTATAGCTCAGATCATAACCCAACTGGGAACTACTACTCAAAGCGTTCTTATTTTCTTAAGTCCCACTTATGGAACGAATACTAAATCGTCAAACAAAATTCTAGTACTCTTTATTTTATTTATTTAAAGGCACAACCACAGAATATCAAATATAGAAAATCGTTTGTCTCCTGTCACATAAAAAAATATTAGAACATCTTTTGCACGAAGTACCTATTGATGAAAACGTATGGACGAGTAAGTTCAAATATGGATTTGAACTTACTCGTACTTCTGACGTCACTCACAATCGTTCTGCCTGACAGGAATAAATTGAGGCATAAATCTTATCAAACATTGTAAAAGTTCGTATTCCCATTATGAGAATCAAATTGTTCCCGTATAAAGGCATTTAGATTCTAATGACATTCAAGATTAGATTTTAAGACCAATTCGAAGTGAGTAGAATTTAATTTTGTAGATTTACTGGAATTGCTATCCAATTTACACTGGATGTGACGAATTTCTTACTAACCTAACTAGATTGTTTAAAATTGCAAAAAAACTGCGCAAATCCCAAATTATTTTAAAGGTAGAAAAATAATGGAATAAACTAAGAACATTAATATTTTCGTGGCGACAAAATAAAGGTAATATTGAAACAATTTATCGCTTGCTTGATTTTTTCAATTTCCTGAAAATCTTCCTTGTCTCATCAATCATAAGTGTTCCGGAAAAAGACTGCATTCGATGACAACAGGGAAGTGATAACTTTCTTCCTTATTTCTTTTTGATTTTTACCCGATTGTGCCAGAAGGAGGGTTATGTATTACTTATTGGTAGGTACGTTCCTATGCGTAACATAAAATGTGTAGATATGTTATAATTTTTAATTATGTTTTTAAAGCCACTAAGTGATTTTTTATAAGCAGAGCAGATTATATTTACTTTAAAGACACTGATGAAAAGATCATTTCACAATAGAACTCTGACATAAACCTAGTTGGAGCCCTCTACCAGTAGATCCATAGTAATCCATACATATGCATAATATTAATGTAATGGCATGATTAACTGTGATCTCAAAGTTGCACAGTGTGCTATGGAGAGGGCTATGCTTGGTGTTTCTTTGCTAGATCGAATCAGAAATGAGGAAATCCGTAAACGAACTAAAGTCGCTGACATAGCCCGACGGACTAGCAAGCTGAAGTGGCAATGGGCAGGGCATAGTACGCAGAACTGACGGCCGATGGGGCAGCAAGGTTCTGGAATGGAGGCCGCGTACCGGAAAACGCAGCGTGAGACGTCCACCTACAAGGTGGACCGACGACATCGTAAAGATAGCAGCGAAGCGCTAGACGCAGGCCGCTACCAATTGATCAACGTGGAAAGCATTGGGGGAGGTCTATGTTCAGCAGTGGGCGAAATGATGATGATGATGATGATGGTGATTAACTGGACTACTTGAAAAATCTAAATATGAATGAAACTCAGACATTTACAAACTTTCGATAAAATTCGTAGTAACAAAGTATCTTCCACAAAATGTTTGTAATAATTCATTTTGTAAAATGAAAGCGAATTTCATAATTAATGGCAATTTAAAACCCACAGGAAACTTTAATTAAATGCCAGTTCGAATCCAGCCACAAGTCGGGAACAAAGTGTTCCCGCAAATGCTCGATGAAATGACACCACGTTAGAGCCTTAGGCTGCGTTCACACAAACGTGGAGAGTATTTTTAAAGCAGAATCAGCGGTATCGGTATCGGTATCGACATCGGAATTGGTTTCGGAGGCAGAATCAGAGTAATTTATTTGCCTTTTTGGTTTACTAAAATATTTCTGTTTCATTCTGATTCAAAGCAGCTCGTGAAAAATTGAACAATAAAGAACCATGGTTTAAAAGAGCACATGTTGTTATTAAGCCAAACTATCTGGTACATTAAAGGTGAATTATCTGTTTACACAGCTACAAAATTATCTGTTTATTCTTAAAACTGAAAAAAAAAACTTCTAAAAAGTACTCGATTCTGACTTGCAATTATCATCGTCATGTTAATAATCATCTCTCACGGAATTCTCACACGGACAGCGTTTGACCTACCCTCCTTACGCTGTATTGCCGTATTAATATTATATTAAGCTGGCTTCAACTCAAATATGAATCCCTCTATGAATTTTGTAACGAAAATGGTAAGGATCCTTGATCTTTGCAATCCACATTACTTTTCGATATTACATGTATTACCTACCTATGAAATGAAAAGTATAAAATATGTTGCATTTTTTATACACAGACTATGAGGTAGGTATGTTATTCTGGCTTGACTTGCACAATACTTACAAATATTTTTCAAAACTCACAAACCCCGTACACTTGAAAAGTGGATAATTTTAGGCGATAAAAATACTTCTAAATAAAATTCATAATATTATGTACTTACGTTCGTATTCACAAACGATGCTTGTTTAAGTGAAACAGCAAATCGAACGCACAGCTTTGAATAAAGCTTTGTGATTGGTTCGTGTGTCACCCTATGCGTCCACGCACACTGTGAGACCTCACACCTAGTAATTTTTATGAATACGGGCGTTAATGTGATCACAGCCTTATTCGTCGAATGAAACAAGTACGGAATTGAAAATATGCCAATGGGGCTTTAAGAGAGATTTTTCCGTAATAGGAAATGTTGCGGGACATTTCAAGGGTTTTAATTTAGGAATATTTGTGTAAAATCTCTTTAACAAGTCTGAATTCATGCCACGTGATGAAAAGAATTTATACAGAACGTATTTTTAATGTCCTTTATTCTATCTTACTTTTCTATATTTTACTCACTTAGCCACGAATCTATAATTTTTCAAAATTTAACTGAGGCGCCCCCAGCGTTTGAGATGCCTAAAAAAATGACTTTCTTATGCGAGAGATGTGTTCAAAAAACCAGTTCTGAGCATTTCGGTCGATAAAATGACTAGCACTTTGTGAAATATATTTCTTTCACGCACCCCTTCGGACCCCAAGTACCTAGGTGTTTCGGTTCGTCACCTTAAGTTAACTATGTAAAACCCGATTATGGTCAGTTATAGTAGAAATTACCAATATCAAATAAGGCCTAAGAAGTACATCATATTTCAACTCTATTCTCATTTAAATAAAGTTCAAAATATGATATCTTAAATTAGTCCATCAACAAGTAAAGTTTCAAAAAACTTACCCAGGGCAAAATCACACGACGGCCCAAAGAACACATGCGCACAGTCATTGTACGCATCAATGGCCGAAATCACCGCGTACGCAGCGTCGCAATCCGTGACGTCATATGTAGTCAGGTTCACGTACAAGTCGGGCGGGAAAGCGTTTTTGATGACGTCATCTGCCAACGCCAGGTCGAACACTGGTCGGACCTGTGAAGAATGAGAAAACATTGTTATTGTAAAAATAAACAATCACACTATTTATAATGCTAAATAGGCTTTAATATTGACCTGCAATTAAGGTGTTTGCGATTAAAAAATCCGCCAGATGACATTGACATATCTGTCAATGTCATATCAAAATCCACCAATCATGCAGCATTTGGACCTCCCGTCTACGTATTGCCTCATAAGCCCTTATAAAAATGTATTTATTTATTTTAATAGGCTTTTAAAAAGCGCTCTTACACGTCTCAGTATAATTTTAACTCTACCATTACTTTGGGACAGTAAACAGGACGGCATTATCTTCCAGTCAACATAAAAGTATAGTATACTAGTGCGTTAGTAAAATTAGGAGTTGGTAGACTATAGCAAGAGAGTTATAGAAGCTCTAAGCACTACGCTACTAGGTGGACCGACGATCTGGTAAAGGTGGCGGGAAGAGCCTGGATGCGGGCAGCGCAGGACCGTTCATTGTGGAAGACCTGGGGGATGCCTTTGTCTAGCAGTGGATGTCATTTGGCTGAAACGAATGAAACACTAAGCGTGTTCGCTTCGTTTAAACTTTGTCTTGATGGATGGATTACAAGTATACTATATGTATCCACAACTATACGATTACCATGATATTCATCTGAGAAGTAAAGGCAATAAATTTCTGCACCAAAACCAACAGCATTTTACTATTAAATTAATTAAATTCGTTCGTTTGATTCAGCCGAATGACATCCACTGCTGGACAAAGGCCTCCCCAAAGATTTCCACGACCGGTCCTACGCCGCCCGCATCCAGGCACCTCCCAGGCATTGTTCTCTGTCTAATAAAAAACTTTTGACCTCAGTCTGTGGAGGAACACTATCTGTGGTCGCGATCCTCATCAGTGAGGGACCGAGGAAGATGAAGAATAAAAAACTTATAACCGATTTGGGACCCGTAGTTGCCCTTTTTCAAGCCCTTCCCACATTCAATGTTTCCCAGAATCCCCTATAGACCCATCTCTATTTGCTGTAACATTTTTTCCAATCACCCCTTAAAACTACCCCAGTGGCCGTCATTTCTATGCCCGACCTACATTTCCCGAGCTTTGTTTTCCACGCCTGCTTAGGAATACGGCCTGTGTTGAAAGCTTTTGATACACTTCAATCTGCGCTTTAAGCTCACCCTTACGCAATCTTAACCTTTGCGAACTTATAAAAGCTTTAGCGGGTGAGCTTTTATGTATTTTGGAATCAAATTTAACTTGTCACGCGAAAGGGTTACATTAATTTTTGATACGCTTGTTATGCAGCATCAATACCATTTTCAGGCCTAAGTTCTGAGCAAATATGATGAATGTTTTTTTCGAACTAACTCACCTACTTGAAAAATAAACCGAATAACTATTTAGTCAAATTAGTAGGTAGGTAATGTGATACTTTTCCTACGGGATCCTAGTGTCCTTATCATTGAGGTATACGCATTGGTATTATACTTAGTAATTTAGTAGTCGAGTACTCGTCGTGCTTAGGTACGTCTCTCCTAATATCATTTTCAAACTTTTATAACAATAAAAAGAAATAGGATAATAGAGCATTACAAAACATGTAAATTGATATACTTACAGAAGGCAAATTCGCCAGAAAAGAGCTGTTCTGAGGCAGCAACACAGCCGCGTTGATTCGGCAGTTTTTCCCATTCTTATCGCACAAATTCTCACAATCGCGGTTACGCGGTTCGTCGCCGCGGCAATTCTGACCCGTAGCGAATTTTAACGCGCACAACAACAACACACACCACCGCATTTTATCGATATTTACCGGTAACGGCACATCACTATTGCACTAACACTTAACCATTGCACACACATTCCACTGCGTTACCTGTAACAAAAACAAAGGTTTCATTTTATTTTATTTTCAAAATATAAAACTTTGTTCACGGAGGGAGAGTCAATAGCATATTTGACTTTGCATTTTGTTGCAAAATATCACCTATTGCAAATGAAAATGCTACAAATCTTTAACAGATTTGTCATCTCTATGCATTGAAAAAATTGCTATAATATGATGATGTTATTTATAGCCTAAAACCCTCCTCGATAAATGGGCTATCAACACAAAGAGAATTTTCCAAATCGTACCAGTAGTTACTTAGATCAGTTGTTAAATAAACAGTAACTAAAAGCTTAGTAAATAATCACAAACAATTTTCACAGTGCACATGACAGGTTGCGGGACTCAAAGCAATGTGTGAAACTAGTTTCCGAACGCCCATTTCATGAATATAAATTTCTTACATTTCCTCACTGAATGTTAAAATATGACTCAGGTACCTTTTTACTAAAGGTCTTATAAGTATACGTTTACCCACCGATTTTAACCTTTAATAAAAAAATCAGTAGCTAACAAACAAACATAATTTTTTGTAAACCTATGAAAAAATGACATTTTAATTATTTATTTTATAAGTTGCATATAACCTAAGCTTCTTAAATTAAAACGTTCTAATTGTGTATGAAATATCTTATTTCCACATTTTACTGGAACATTTTCATTTATTATTTTGCGTCGCAAACCCCAAGAGTCTCTCTATTTATTTAACTTGTCCATTCCCAGAAGTTTCAAACGTACCTACCCAATATTGCTTCTGCAATATGCAGTGCAATATTTAATATTGCTCTGTGCAATATTAAATATCCATGTCATGCCCACTTTGAACTGAGTACACTAAGGGGCTGTGTAAACGTATATAGACACCTTATGGCACACGGCACGCCATCAATGGTCATTTTATGGTGTTAAGTAGAAGCAACTGGACACAACCGTCTCTGTGGTCTAGTTGTAAGACCATCTGTCTTAGAACCAGGGTTCGATTCCCAGTGAGAGTAACACTTAACCGCTACCAACCGTTCGATGTGGAAGTCATTTGGGGAGACCTATGTTCAGCAGTGGACGTTCTGTGGCTGAAATGATAATGATGATGTAACACTTAAAGCTCTGTTTGGTTGGAAGTAGAGCTTGCTCTAAGTCCGCCTGGCTGCTACCACATCTTAACAAAGTAAGGTATGTCCAAAAGCTTCTCCGTTAAATAAATTGTCTACATCGGCACAGGGAGTAACTGATTTACTCGTATATCTTAACTAAATGTCTACACTAAACATGTAAACACTAAATGTCTGAACTAAATGAGTGTTGCGGCGCTACTTCTCAGCACTTGCCAAATGTTGGTCTCGAAGCGCTGGTAGGGTAAAAAGATTTTGAGACATGTAGAGGCTCCTTAAGAGCAAAATGACGATTTATAAGAACTATTTATTAGTCTAAACAAATAAAGAAATTTTGACTTTGACTTGGACACAAGACACAAAAACGTTTGCACAGCCTCTAAGACAAAAATAACTTCTTCGTAACCACTTTCTTTTTTTAAAAGACATAAAACGGCCATGTAATTAGGTAAAATTCAAGTTACTGCTAAAAGTACCCAGTCTAATAATAAAACAGCTGTAAATTACTTTCCTAGACCAAAATAAACCCTTATTAAGTTAGGTCGTTTACCGTCTAGTCGTTTAACCACTGTCTTAACTGTGAGCTTTTGATCTATAGCTTACTTTCTAACTTACACAAAGTAGCGAGAAAATCTTGTCCAGTATTAACTTGTGCAACTTTTCGCTAGTACGCGTTACTTATTTGAAGCGATAGTTAAAGATAATAACAAATATTTATTTTATTACTAAAAAGAGTTTTGAAGGCTTTTTGTATTGGTGGAATAAATAAATATTTGAAACTGTTTTTAACAACTTATAATCTATACTTATAATAAATCTGTAGAGAGGTCAATTCTGTACATGAAATATATTTTCAAAATAACTATCAGGGGGTGATTAGTGATCGATACTGATGCCAAAAATGCAATCAGTAAAATTTTTTTTTGTCTGTCTGTCTGTCTGTCTGTCTGTCTGTCTGTCTGTATGTTCCTTATAGAAACAAAAACTACTCAACGGATTTTAACGAAACTTGGTACAATTATTCTTCATACTCCTGGGCAGGTTATAGGATACTTAGGAATTCCCACGGGAACGGGAATCAGCGGGAAAATCCTTTTGTATGAAAAATCTAAACCGCTTAAGTCAGACGCTTGAAATTTGGCATGCAGGTACCTCAGTAAACTTAAAGCTTAGTTGCAACAGGATATTGCAAAATTCCTACGGGAACGGGAGTTAGCGGGAAAAAACATTTGTATGAAAAATCTAAACCGCTTAAGTTAGACGCTTGAATTTTGGCATGCAGGTACCTTAGTAAACTTAAAGCTTAGTTACAACAGGATATTGCAAAATTCCCACGGGAACGGGAGTTAGCGGGAAAAAACATTTGTATGAAAAATCTAAACCGCGTAAGATAGACGCTTGAAATTTGGCATGCAGGTACCTTAGTAAACTTGAAGCTTAGTTACAACAGGATATTGCAAAATTCCCACGGGAACGGGAGTTAGCGGGAAAAAACATTTGTATGAAAAAATCTGAACCGCGTAAGATAGATGAAGGGGGGGTAAAACGAGATCCACGCGTACGAAGTCGCGGGCGGCCGCTAGTTTAAAATATAACGTGAAGTGCACAAAATTTAATTTGAACAACTTGTTGTGATTCTATATTTGGGTATTTTGTATGGCTACACGAGTTAAAAATACCTATCTACTTGAAAGGAATCGGCGCTTACATGTTTTTGATTTGAAAGGAAGAATACGCGTAAATATTGCTATTTATCTTATCATTTAAATAGGTTTTTTGTACATTTGTATTTCAATAAATATTGCCAAAACACACTGCCATTTGCAATTCAATTTGATCATTCACTTTGATAAATGAAATGGGAAATAAATATTTTGTTTTGTAAAAGTATTAGGTACCTATGTACACACGGCCACACTGTTAACTATCCATTTCCGTTTTTGCTCTCGCTCTCATCAAATGGTGATCCTTTGCGATAGAACGAAACGACATGGATGGATAGTTAACACTGTTGCCGATAGTACAAATGTACAGTCGCGGAATGAAAAGGTTCGTCACCTTAGTGTCGGTTTTCGCTTGCACTAGTAAGAGTCAAACCTGCCAACATAACCGTGCAAGAAACATTGCTGCTAACATTTAAATAAATATGACGTTTGGTAACGAATAAGGTTTTGCTTGTTTTTTTTCTATCCCATCAGTGCAATGTTACAAAATGTACTTTTTTTATTTAATAGATAATGGCAGGTTGAACCAACAAGAAGATTTTAGTTTATGAATCATAATAATATTTTTGACAAGTTAAATCGTCAAACAACTTTGATCTGAATAATTTTGAACTTAACTGACGAACAGTTAAAGATTATTTTCTCTAACTCGAGATTATTCTGTAACATAGTTTCAAAAGGTAATATGTGCTCGCGATTCGTTGAAGGAATCAATTTGAAAACTGACGAACCTTTTCATTCCGTGACTGTACATGTAGTATGTATTAGGTTTGCCATTATTTAGTATCAACTAAAAGAGCACAACCCTCTCTATTTACTAGAGGCAAATGGAGGATTTGGTCTACAATCCTCACACTGGCCAGCAGGGTTAGATAGAATACATTAATCTATACTTCTATACTAATATTATAAATGCGAAAGTAACTCTGTCTGTCTGTCTCTCTTTCACGCCTAAACCACTGAACCGATTTTGATGAAATTTGGCATAGAGATAGTTTGAGTCGCGGGAAAGGACAGGATAGTTTTTATCCCGGTTTTTGAAACAGGGACGCGGGCGATAAAGTTTTTCTGTGACAGACAAAATTCCACGCGGGCGAAGCCGCGGGCGGAAAGCTCAGTTAATCGGTTCAGTGGTTTAGGCGTGAAAGCAAGACAGACAGACAGACAGAGTTACTTTCGCATTTATAATATTAGTATAGATATAGATAGTATAGATTAAAAAAAAATTTTATCAGATATTATCTGCAATGAACATTACACAATTGCTTACCTGTTGATATAACATAAATATTTTTCCTTCCTTCACACCGATTTAAAGGTACCTAAAGCTTCACTATCCCAACGTATTATACCTTCAGCTTCAAACCCACTCGACCGAACTAAGCGAGACATTTATCTGACTCTACGGCAACCGGCGAAATGGTCTAAGTTACTTAGCGTGGTAAAACCCCAGTGGTTCGCAAAATGGATAACAAACGGGTATAGCCTGTATGTCTATCACGAAAAACTTTCATCTTCGAATCCTTTGCGTATTCTAATCGGCATCGAAAGATTTATTATTTGAATTCAGTCTGTCGAATCGGTTTACAATATCTGTAGTTTTAATTGAGTTAGGTATAACATACGAAGTATTATGCGAAGTGAAAAATTAGAGACGCGTAGTATTGAGCGAAAGCTCACGATGCATTACGGCGCCGCACCGAAATGATTTTGGCGTATCGCGCGACGCGGCGCGCACCGCTCGTGTGCCTGCCACAGATATTTCTATGTAGGACGACGCAGCGACACCGCTCTGACGTCGCATCTCTATCGCAACGCATCGTGTGCCTTGTCCAGGAGGGCGTATTCGCCGCGAATGTCTTCGCGCGAACACGAGCGTATGTATGACGCGATTTACGCGCGAATTTTCAACTCGCGCGTGTCTTGTGGACGCAATGTATTGGCTGCTATCTTGCCGACGCGCGTATGATTCCACGCGCGAAGACATTCGCGGCAAATTCGCCCTCCTAGACAAGGCCTAAGCTCTTATTGCGTAAAGCGAATATTTAGTTTGACGTTAATCTATGTTTTACAGAGGTGTTTATTGGGTAAAATAAAAGTAATATCTACATTTTTATATTACGAGTACTTTAGGCACAACATAAAAAAAAAACAA